AGTGACGAGCCGAGCCCGCTCGGCTCGTCTAGCCCATGAGCTCGCTCGGCTCGTGCTCGGGCTCGTTTTTTTACGAGCCCGAGCGGCTCGTGGGCGTGAACAGTACGAGTCGAGCGGGCGAGCCGACGAGCCGCTCGGCTCATTTGCCACCACTAATTTTGGCAACATTTGTCAACAAATATTGTATTTTTATTGTTGTAAATGACTATTTTTGTTGTAGTGGGAAGTAGTGTTCAATCAATTACGTATTAATCAATATTCGATTGATTGGAATAAGATTTCTATCTATAGTATATGATGTGATGTCGAGAATCCTTTAAGGTATATACCAAATTCTGGTAAAGGTCAAATTGCAAGTTACTCTGCGCAATTAAAAATTATTAATAATTATCCTCTCATAGTTTTTGAAATCTGATCATTCACCTTGTGGTTTCGAAGTCGAGCTAATTACTATTCGTGTCTACACCTACTAGTTGGAATAATCGTGTTAGATTTGAGAGTAGGTCACGACATGTACGTAAGCATTCAAGAACCTTCGAAAGTTAAAAGAGTGTTGTGCCATGTGTTTTGTGCTGGTCTATAAAAGTGAGATATTTCATTTATTTAGAATCACCTCAAAACCTAATTCTTTTTTGTCCTTCAACCCGCCGCCAGCTTCTTTTTCACATCTATCATTGTTAGGGATGACGGCGGGGCGGGGCGGGGCAACCTCCCAGCATGAATCGAAAACTTAAAGATAAGAGGTGGGGAGGGTGACAAGATGCGCGGAGATTAAAATGTTCTTATTTTTCGACTTGTTTCTTCATTTACTTATTTATTGATTTATATTCATATTTATATTGTTAAGCACGATGTTTTAAAAAACATAAAATATAAAACAAACTAGTTGGATCTGGTTCGGTACATGAACCATTTTCCCTTTCCCTGCATCGATGCCCCCCATATACTTATTTTTTTTACTTATTAATTTTATATTTTATAATTTTATTTATTTTTCAAATAAGATTTAAATTTATAAACATAAAATTAGAATAAAATAAAAATAAGAGTTTAGAGCAAAATTATGTTCCTCGTCCCTGCTCCGTTTCCCTCCACTAATTCGAAAATCCCACCCCATCCGAATTGTTTCATTTTTGGTAATGTTTTTAACTGTTTATAAGGTGTGGATCCTATCAAATGAGTGAATAATAAGTATTAATAATTGTGGCTCCAATAAAATTTTTAATAATTTGTTGAATCGAATTAAGAAAAAATATCAGCTAATATTAAAATCAAAGGCAATTCCAGAAGTTGATTACTAATTCTTTTTTAACTAATGAACAATTCCAGAAACTCTTGAAGAAAAAATTAAAGGCAAACCTTTTATTTATAACTAATAAATCCTTAAGAAAATAATTAACAACCATAAAAACGTTACCTAGCTTGTTAAAAATAATTTAGATGCATCAGATACATTAATTTTAGTTACATTAGTTTGAGTTAATTCACGATGACTTTTCATGCTAAGAGTAATAAAAAGAATAATGTTATCTAGTATCAGCAGTTTATCTAACACTAAGTGGCAGGTCCAATTAAATGCAGCAAACACGGTTATTTAATTTGGCTATGATTTAATGATACTTCACGCCATGTAGACATGTGTTTTAACGCTAGTTCTGAATAGCATTACTTTAATAATTTTTTTGTGAATTAACCTTTTCACCCTTTACAACTTGTTTAGGTGAGTTAATTGTTTCAACAGTCATCGAACTTTACAAAATGTCACGTTTCACTAACTGAACTTTAAGTTGCACTCCATCACTAACTGAACTTATTTAAATTGCACTCCGTCACTCACCGTCTTAATTCCGTCTATCACATTTGCCTACGTGGAGGACGGTTTTTACACTTGGCCGTTAATTGCCGTGTCATTAATCCCAAACGGCCAAACACAATTAACTCCCCCTGAATCGCGTGTGGAACCCTAGGCTGAGAAAAGTTTGAAACTTGGACGGTGGATTTCAGTAGAGCGTGAACCCGGAATCGAAGCTAACCCTCCATCATCATCGAAGGACCCATCCCGACCACGAATATTAGTGTTTCCAACACTCGGACATGGAGGGTCCACAAGGAGGTAATTCCCATTCAATATTTTTGTTTGTTTCTT